CAGTGTTTTGCTGAAAAATGATCTATACAAACAGGCCAACTGCTTTACTCTCAGGGAAGGTGAATTTCTACTCTAGACCCCGTCACACATACGTAGGCTTCAGGCCTTTTGAACACGCCACCCCGCTATCTTCTTTATTTCAACTTCTCTGGTTAATACTGAGCAATTTCTTTTGCTTGTTCAATTGTCAATAATTAAATAACTTAAACCTTTAAAAATTGGTGAACCCTGCAATGACTACACAGTGAAGACTGATTACAATGAAGGCGCAGTAATATACACTAAGAAATGAGAGAGCTGATTTAAGAATTAGGTCATTTCTCAGAACCAGACTAATCATTCTATTCTAGAACATTTATTTAATGATTGCTTTCTAAGTTTCAATACTGCTTATACATTTCTCTATATGCTTTAATTCACCCATGCCTACTGTGTGAGCCCCTGATCTTACCAATAACGGCTTTGCTCATTTTGCTACTCATAGCATTTTCCAGAAATGGAAGCTCTAATCTGAGTTGGCAAGGAAAGTTCTTAATAAAGTTTGATACTATGTCACCAAAAACAAAAACAGCATGACAAAATACTCAACATGCAAGTTTCTTCCCATTCAAACATTCTTTAAAAATAAAGAAATAAACTTTTGGGACCAGCAGATGGCATAATGGTTATGCTGCTGGACTCGCACATAGTTGACCATGGTTCAAGTCCCAGACTCAGTGGCTTAAAACTCATGCCAGGTGCATGTGCATATGTGCCCAAGATCCCAAGAGGAGAACAGAGGAGAAGGGATTGCGGCGTGGCCACCCCCATGGGTGGGGAGATTTCTCACTTTCTGTCTCTCTGGCAAGTGCACACACACTATAGCAAAAATCTCTTAAAAAATATTTTATATCACCTCAAGGTGGTATTTCCGAAGGGAAAATCCTACACACACATATCACTGTTTTGCTATAAACAGCTATTGAACCAAGTGGGAAAGGTCTGACACAAAGTCCCGTGTTGGTGCTTAGTGGCACAACAGGACATACTGAACGTGAACTGCAGCTTTGAGCAGCCCTGCTTCTCCGCAGCAATGTCATGTAGGGTACCTTGTTTTCCCCAACATTATCTCCACCCTTCCTGCACTTCATTAAAGACTTTGAAACTTGATTTAATTTTCTTCACAACTTTACCTTCTATCATATTCTAGAAAGGGTTCCCAGATTTTGAATACCTAAGGCCTACCCCCTACTATTCCACCTCCAAAATAAGGAGCTTTAAATTTTCCCTCCAGTGACAAAACGAAGAGGCGCCTTACACCGTTCACTAACTTGCTCCTGACACGGATTGGAGGAGTCCGACCCAGCGGGGCTCCAGGACCCGTCTGAGCCCCTTGACCTTTGAGCATCGCTTCCGGTCGG